GCGGCGGCGCCCCCTGGAGGCCGCGCGGGCCGGACTCGGCCTGACCCTATGTGAGAGCCATCGCGCACCCAGACCCAGGGCCTGGGCCACCACCCTGACCCCAGACCTGGAACGTGACAGGGAGCTGCGGAAGAAGACGCTAGACCCAGACCTTGACCCAACCCACATCACAACTCGGATCCCGGACTCCGCAATAGACCAGGTCCCTGAGCCCAGACTGACGCTTCCAAACATGGTCCTAGGGACTTGGGTCCCAGACCCTGACTATAACCTCGAACTCTCTGACCTTAGATGCAGTCCACGACCTGACAACAGATCTGGATGACATTCCTGACCCCAGACTCCAGACAGGACCCTAGACCCAGACCTTGGACCACCACCTCAGACTCTGACTATGACCCTGAATCACAACCGTGGGTCCCCAACTCCACACTCAGACCTTGACACTGAGACCCAGACCCTCAGTAGGACCCCACATCCAGATTTTGGATCATGACCTCAAACACTGATTATAACCTTGATCCCATCCTGGTTACTGATCCCCAACCTTGATTTTAACCCCAGACCCAGACCACTATCCTGACCCTAAACCCTGGACTTAGGGGCAGGGCCTAGATCTGGTCTTGGAGTGTCAACCCCACTCCAGGGTCCTAGACCCAACATCAAGAAGTCTGGACATGGACCCAAGACCAAGACATCTAACTGGGACCCAGACTGGAACTAGAATCCTTAGCAGGGCACCAGGAACCTGGACCTGAAAACTGCAGTCAGGTTCTAGGCTTACCCCAGCCCCAACCCTACCCCTCTTGCTCCAGCTCCAACCCTGGCCCCAGGACCAAGGACCCTGCACGAAGCTCTGTCCTCCCTGGACCAGCCTATAGACCCAGGACCCTTTATTAAATGTCTGCATCAATTGGAAGATATTTCCTGATGTTGGAAGTCCTAGTTATGAAATTAAAAAAAAAGATATATACCATTTCCAACTGTAACTTATGCCCCCAGTGCCCACCACAGGACCTGATCCAAAAAGGCCCAGTCGATTTTGATGAATAAATGAGTTCCTCAGCCCCAGGTGGCACATGGAGTTTGGAGCAGAACAGGGTCAGAGGCACACAGGATGCCACAGCAGGAGGCCTCTAACCTCCCCTTTTCCCACTCCTCCCCAACTCTTTGGGGCTCTGACCACAGCCACACGCTGACCTGGGTTTTCTGGAGCAGCCCCGATTTAAAACATTCTTCCTGATGAACTTGTCAGACTAGAGTCCCTGTGGGTTCTTAAATGCCAGACATCCTGCTCCAAGAGATGGCACTCCCCACCCCCGACCTGGAAACCCAAACTGCCCCTCCCACCCATAGCCCAATCTGCAGCCCTAAAGAGGGAGTTATGAAAGAGAGATCAGGAGAGAGAAGTGGGGGCAGAGCACGCGTCCCAATCTCCAGGGTGCCCTTTCATTGATTCCTGGGCCCTGGAAAGGCACTCCTGGAAGTCTTGGCTGGGAAGAGATTGGTGTGAGTTCCTGGTCTGGGGGAGGCTGGTTTT